CACCGAAAAGAATTTATTGTTGTGGCTGGTGAAAGAATCCATTTAATTGCATTGTTGTACGTTGGGTGCAGGAATCAAGTGCCTATTCACTTTCTGTGCGTGTGTACGAGCACACTGAAAAATCCTTTGTGGTATGACGACTTTTACAGCGTTTAACACTGATCAATGGCAGCAGAAGAAATTTAATTGGAAATATATATACTATTCAGTCTCGCTCGGCAGCTCGTTTCTCACATTCGTGCTTCCAGTTAAAATATGAATAAGTAAAAGATTGTAACGAAATCATTCAAAGAATGCCAAACGTTTGGCATCAAAAATGCCAAAGAATGTTTTCAACGAAGAAAATTACATAGTTTCATTCTTGTAAACAACTTTGCCGAAATATGTATAATGGAAATTATTGGCAACATTGTAAACATTTTATATAAAAAAAAACCATCCATCGAACGCTACCATACAACTCACAAATAAATCGCAAAAGATTTTCATAATTATTTACAGCGTCTTTTTTTTGCCAAAATGAGAAGAAAAAGAGTACTGAATGGTATTCATGAGGCTCTTATAGTGGAATCAGTTGAATTCACATTTGGCGTGTGTGCAAATCGTTTAAATTCAAATGAATGAAGTTCAAATTTTCGCAAAATATTTTCGAATTAGTAAAGTGATTGGAGTGGAATAAGTACTTTTACAATCTGTAAAATATGGATTTTTCATCATAAATTCCGAAAAACTCATACTTTTACCAATTTTCTCACTTTGAGATTCTTAAAATTTTTCGCCGAAAAATTATTGCCTTCAACCGATTTTACACGAACTTTTCAGATTTATTAGCAATTTTCGTTGCACAGTTACGATAATTCGTTTGCGTTGTAAGCCCTTTGGTGATGGCGCATAACGTATCTTGTTCATTTTACGAAGCAATGGGGTTTTTCCAAGTTTTTTTTTTGTAAACCAATAACTACACACATATATATATTTACAAACGCTATGCGACGACAAACTTTTACCAACCGTTTTTCTTTTCGATCAGCGATTTTTCAACAACGTTTCAGTGATACATTGTAGCGCCAAACATTGTCGACGGCATGCAATAATGAGTAAGCGCAAGTAGTCAATGCAGTGAGTGGAGTAGCAAAAAAAAAGAATGTGGAAAATTGCAATGTGATGCAATTTAAATGGAAATGGTTTTAAAAGTTCGAGGAGTTAGGGCGAAAGAGCGCGCGTGCAACTATCACCCACCAACCACCAATTCTGGTGAAATGTTGAAGAAGTTATTTGCCAACGAATTGATCTCAAGAGGATTAGCAATGGTAAATATGTGCGGGCGGCCGGGCGTTGGTGTATTGTGCGCTTTTTATGGATTATCATTGTTTTTTTCCCGTTTTTCTCTTCAAGATTCTTCCATTCTGTAATCTGTCGGCTGTTAACAACCTTCCGTTGAAAAGCGTTTGTTCCCAGTCGAGCAATGTGTATTTTTGTGCATTGGTGCGAATTTATGGATTTCGCATTTGAAGGCGTTGCAATAGTCGTAGTCGTCGTCGAACATTCGTCCAACAACAAAATAGCGGTGCTTCAATTTCAAGAAGAATCTCAACGTAATGCCAATGAATTATTTCATCGAGGCCACAAAATGAACCGCCATAGATTGAGTCATTCTTTTTATACCATGTTTTTGTCTAGAAAAAAAACATTTTAATGGAAATTAAATTGGATTTGTTGTTGTTGCTACTCCAACTGCTCCTCTGCATCTATCTATTTTGAGAAGCGTAGTCTTGTGAGTCGTCTTTTCTTTCTCTCATTCCGCCACTGTCGTTCCACGCGTCTCCGAGCTCTGGATGAAATTGATAAGCCTCTTTTAATAAATCGCATTTGTAATTTTCAAGCGTTTTCAATTTCATGCGATTATTTATTCATCCGTGTACAGACACTGTAATGCATCTGCTGTTATTCACTTCATTAAAAGTTTGCACACTCATTCGCTTGGGCTAGAACATGCAATGTGACAACGATGACGGGCAAAAAAAACATAGAAAAAAACATCATTAACTTTGAATATATACATATATTTCTTAATCCTATGCGCGCTAACGAGACACTTACAGCAATTTGATTCTGTTTTGCATATATTTCATACGTTGTACGTGCCATGCATACCGAAATTGCGCTCCACCAAAAATCGAAACGAAGACGATGGTGATGTGTGTGAGTTTGGAGTGCACATTCAAGGCAATATACGGAGTGAATACTAGAAAAAGCTTTGTGAATATTGAATAATACTCGTGAAAAGTGAATTTGGTTTTAGCGGTCATCAGTGAATAATTGTGTATTATTACAATAAATCGAATAAGAATGTTTTCAAAAGAACTAAAACGAAGAATGTACCACAAGGACAACTGTTCATTCATTTACGGCTTTATAAACTTTTGCTCGTTCCCATTCCATCGTGTTTGCTCAACAAACATCGGCACACATTGACAAAACAGAAAAGTTTGACATAATCGCATTGCTGGCTTGTTCTATCGGTGAGGGTACGCCAACGTTTATTTCAATTTGGTAAGTACATGTAAGTCAAGCATATCAACATCACACGATCATGATTTTCCATTTTCGGCATTTTTTTTTTCTTTCACAAAATTCCGTGTATTTATTTTCTTATACTCAAGTGTTTTGGTTCACACACACACACACATATAAGTGGCACATTTCCCCTCTCATTAGATGTCGTTTGCAAAATGCTGTCCATTTCACACGAGCAAATTATTCATGTCGCATAATATCCGGATATGTACAGAATCAAGGGCCAAACAGACAAAGATGTACTAAGTATTTGCGCCGTTTTCGTAACGATAATAAAATAAGGAACATGCTATGTGTTTGCCAGTTTGTAACGCAATTAGTAACAAACAAGTCCCGGTCAGCATTTTCGCTCGTTGTCTCGGTTGCACAATATTAAATTATCCTCTGTTATGTCCGACACTTTGTTTGTGTGTATTACAATGACAATGACGGTAATGATGATGATGATGATGTTGTCCAGATAAGGACAGGAGATGATTGAGGTGGAACGAAAAACTCCCAACGTACACAATGTTTTAGCATAAACTGCATCCAAATTAGATTTCGCTCGTGTACGTCTGTTGTTAGGCAATTATTCAATTTCAAAGTGACCACAAACCAAACATGCACTTTGTTAATTGAATTGAATAGGGATTTTGTTATCAAAAATGGTGCCGAAATTTCATCTAAATCGATTTCACAATGAAAAGACTAAAACAAATTCTCTATACATATTATTCATACAAAAATCAAATCCAATTTAATCTGCATTTGTTTGCAATTTCATTTTATTCTCTTATTTTTCGCCTGCATTTCAAACACACAGATCGCATATACTTCATATTCCATTAGGACCTGACACAAACGATAAAATATTTAAATTAAATTTTCAACAATTCATCATGTGTTGACTGTGTCGTTGTCTCGGCTCGATTTAAATCCATTCGCAATTCGCATTCGATTACAACGATTGTGAACCCATATACCGACGACCACCGAGAACTCTCTCCCTTTGCTTGCTCGCTCTCTCTCTCTATAGAGTTTTTTTTTGCTGTCTCGAGAGCACGCAACACAGGACAGAACTGAGAACTCACTCCTTAGCATGCACGCAAAAATGGATTCCGGTGGGAAGCGAAGCGAAAATAGAGAAGCAAACGATCTATTAGCAATTTAAAATGATGATGCAAATATTCTTTTTTCCCTACTATACACACCAAGACATCGTCAGACTGAAAATGCAAGTAAAACACTGGCAACCGCCTGCTTGCTTGTCCACATAAAATCATTTCATCAAATCGACGAATAATCACATACTGCTGAACCATTAGGCGACAACAACAAAATGCACAAATGATGAGAACAACAACAGGACACAATCAAAGAACAAGAGACGGACAGTATGTTTACAAAACATAAATAATGCAATATGTCTGAAAGCTCTGAAAAAAAAAATATACTCAATAGCACATCTCTCGTTCAGTCTCACTCTCAATGCCCCCGGTATCTCTCTTTTTTCTTTCGGAATTGAACGAAAAATATGCATCGTACAGAAAAATTGACAATCTAAATGCAACAAAATGAGCCAGCGATGAGTTTCTATTACCTACCGAACACACAAAAAGCAAGCAAATCTTGTGATGGAATGGCATGACTTCGGTGTCGAGGTGTAGCGCATGTGCTCACATCAGATGAAAACAAGCAATAACAAACTCGCCAATTCTCCTTCTGACAGAATGTGTCTTTGTATTGTTTTGCATGCGTTCTCTTTCTCTCGTTTCGTCTGTGGTTCGCTGTGTGCCCCAGTATCTACAAACAACACAATGCAACGCTATGTGTGTGCAACATTCAGAAGTCTTCTTTTTAAAAACAAAAACAACAAAATCACTCGTAGTTCGAACACAGACTATGTTATTTGTGTGCCACCAATTGACTTGAGCACACAATCTGAATATTCTCCACGCACTACCTTTGCTTTCTCGCTCTCTCTCTCGCTCATACGCGCGTGAACGTCAGTTACTCATCGTGGTCGTCGTCGTCATCATCGTTATCATCGCAAAATGTTCGTTGTTTTGCTTATGTATAAGTGGCTTAGTACAAACGGAATCGCATATTGAATTGTTGTTTTGCCGCCGTTTTCTCTGTTCAATTTCTCGTCACTGTTTCCGTCGTTTCACAAATGAACGGAATAAAAAAAAGGCACCAACAACAATCAACAATGTTGTGCGGTTGTATGTGCCGTTCTCGTCACTCTCAATGTATGTTATACTCACTCAACTGTTCAATTGAGTTGGATAGTCGTTGTTGTATCTTTCACACACAAGCACACTGTTCTCTCTCACGTTTGCTGGCTTCGCATTCGCATTTATACATATGTATAGCAGCATTTCGTGTTGGCGCTCGATGCACAGTACTCTCCGGAACTGGTGTATGCTCAAATAGCTTTAGTTACTGGCTGCTATTCCCATTGTATGGTTGTGTATACCGCTGTCGAACGTGTTTTCTGTATCTTATTTCCGTTCATTTGAGAATTTTTCGTATTTCAAATCGATACGAATCTCTTGCGTTCGTTTTTTTTTAAAAACAAATTTTCAATTGCATTCAAGCAATTTTCAAGCCAAAAAAAATCAGTGGGAGAATATCGATCACATACCGAATGGTCAATGCTAAATTATGGATTTTATGAGTGATACGAGCAAAAAAACGGTAGTTTTATGTACCACAAATACAATTCGATTTGTTTCAAATTAATCGCATTTTCGGGTGTCAATTTTGTGTTTTCTGTCACAACGACGACATGGATTTATAAAATATGCACAGAGATTTTTACGTGTGACTAAAACCAAACCAAAAATCAAGAGTTCTATTTGAATTGGAACGAAGTAATTTGAAATGCAAATCATGGATCAAATCAATTAGATTGTAGTGTGAGAAGTTGATTGAAATTATTTGAAGAATTCAAACTGAAATTTTTCGGATTTCAAATACAAATAACACACCTGTTTAACATAAACATTCAAACACACAAACACAAATAAACACCAAATTGAATCAACGTCACCTTTTCAAAGCTGGTCCATTCATGCACAATTTTCGAGTGTGCATCATATCTGTTGAAATTGCCGTCGCTATTGCAATTGTCATACCACCTTGTAGCGCAGTAGCATATGTGTGTGAAGCCACAAGAATTGTTCGGTTAGTGGCCATTAAAATAAAAGTGTGCAAATTAACAGCATAAGAAGAGAAAAAAAAAATCTACAATCAAGTGAAATATATTAAATTTTTCATAATATACAAACAGTGTGCGAAAATAACAGGCAATTTCATCTCATTTTGTAAAGCATAATTTAAAATTGAAAGAGAGCAGAGAGAAAAAACCACACAATATAAAAGCAACACAAAAATAAGAGTTTTAAAGAGTGAAGCAAAGGGAAAAAAACAACAAAAGCAACAAAATAAAACCTAGTGTAAAAGATCAATTGGCACCGTTTCGTGTTCGAGATATAAATTGTATGAAAAGTTGTATTACAAAATGTTGACTTCACCGAATAACGCAAGCAACCAGTACATCAGACCGGATTATTTATCACCATTACCAGCAACGGTAAGTTGTGGCCATTATTTCTGTTTAATTTTATTTTATTTTTATGTTGTTGTTTTTTTTGGTTCGTTTTGCACTCCGCAAAACCGAAACGGCAATCTGCTCAAATTTGCCACTACTTAATATTGGCCAATTAAAAAATCATTAATTTTTCTCGTTGGAATTGCAATGGAAAGTCAAGCCGTAATAATAATCAAGCTATAAAATGCGAAAATGCTACGCGACATAATCAACCTGTGTTCGCTCTTCGATTTTAGTGTACTGCGGTGTGCGCCAATTCATTTTTATATCATTTTTTTCATTCGGTATCGGTCAACAGCAATCGAAATTCATGCACATTGAATTACACGCAAAACACGAATATTATTTCAGCAATAAAAGTCTCTCAGTCTGTCTGAGTCATAAGGAAAAGTAATGGAAGCAAAATCGACGAACATTACAGAATGTACAAAAAAAAAAATCGAAAGCAACTAAATGAAAACGAAACAGAAAAAAAAAATCAATGGAACAAAATACATCTGGAGTAAAAACGAAGCCTTTTTTGACTTGTTTATTAAGTCTGTATTTAATTTTGACATTAATAATTTTCGTCTCAATCATATGGTGTCGGTGGCTATTAAAAACCTGCATTTTGTGTTTACAAAAAGACGAATACCAAATTATTAAAGACTGTGTCGCGGAAAATGACATGAACGAGCAATTTTATCCGCCGTCGTCGATACCAAATTGAAACGGATGGATTTTTAATTATAAACCGTGAAACATATCAGCCGATTTCGATGTTTTCATTGGAACCCATTTCAGGCGCGCACAACAAAACAATATTCACATATTCCTTGTGCCAAAATGAGTTGTTGTTTCACGGAGCCATATGCGGCTATTGATTCCATTGCTAAATTGACGGCGAATTTCCGCAATTAAATATTTTTAAATTTTTAATTACTTTTTATGATCGGTATGCGCGCGCAATTTATTGAAAATTCAACTAACTGTATTTCGTTCGTGGATAAAATAACACCGCTATTTGCAATGCGAATAAAAAAAAACAAGGACCGTTTTTTTCATTCTCGATATCTCATCCATCTGCAATGTACAGCCAGTTCATTGAAGACTTGTGGCGACAAAACGGTTGGATTTAAAGTGACGTATTTTGGGGATTGGCCCCGAACAACACACTTCACGCGCGATATACAGTCATTAAAATTAATATGCGGCATTGATTTTTCATATGGGATGTAATAACTGTTGGAATTGGTGTGGCACATTTTAAATACTGTTTGTCATTTCAGCCGTCAAAGCTCTCATTTGATTGCCGCCACCTCACCAGCGTATGCGTGTGAGCGCGCGCGCGCTCTTTTTCGTTCATAAGTACAAAGTGAATGCGCTCAACATATAATGCACAAACCAACTAGCCAACCAGTTAATCGCCGGAGATATTTTTTAATTGACTCGAATTGGAAGTTTCATATATGTTCATTTATTATCTCTGTGTTTCTCTGGTTTCGGTGTGCTCGGCGGTGTTGTTTTTATTTGGACAATTTGCTGTTGAACGAACGAAAAAAAATGTTAACCACGCAAAATTATGAGAGTGTTTATTTTTTTTTTCATTTGTGCCATGTCATTTTTCTGTTGAGCCATTTAGTTAACGGCTTTTTGAAATGACTCTATTAATTGGTTCGAAAATATGGATACCATGATGATTATATAAATAGTTTGTGTAAAATATCCATTCTGTTTGTGTTTCAATGACAAACTAATCCGCACCTTTATGAGCACCGAATATGAAAAGATCGACAATCGATTACCATTTTTTTTCGCTTCTTCGGTGTGGTGTATCGATTTGATTTATTGTTATCGGTTACAAATTGCGATTCATCGATGCAAACTTTGCACTGTGGTATTCCATATTTGAAATTCACTGTGATTATTCATCAAATTGAGAATAATTAATTAGTCAAAATCAAATCAATAGCACAAAAAATGCAGCGAATAACGATAATACATACGATTCATGACTATGTGAACTTTTTCACTCTTTGTTTTTTTTTCTGTTCAATAAAATTCAATATGTAAATCGAAACAGCAAATTTCGTTTCGTTTACATAATTAATTATGAGAAATTACGATGCAAACCGCAATAAATAGTCCACAATCAACCAATAAAAAAAATGTTGAGTGCAAATTGGCTTTGTTGAAACAATTTTTTTTTATTGCTTGTTTCTTTTGTACATTTTATTAGACTCTGGCTATGTATGTTTCGTGGTGATTCATTTTTTACGATTTGTAAATTACTAGCACACAAATAAATCACGTCGAAAATCAGTGTATATCTTCGAAAAGTACAATCATCAAATTAACGAAATGAATGCACGTGTACGTACATGAACAAATCAAATGATTTAAAAAAATAGTTGTAATCGTGACTATTACATTTCAGATTCAAATCGACCCCATTGGCCAACGCATTATTACCCGTTTGCTTTTTGGTTGGGCGGAATTGTGGCTCATAAACTTAATATATAAAAAAGCAGTCATTTCGCGCAATTACAATCGAATCGAAATTGTTTATGAAGCTGTTTAAATTACTCAATGAATTACACGTGTTGATATAAAAAGAATTGTACAAGTTCATTGTTTATGACAGTGACTGGAGACTTTTTTTTCTAGTTTTTTTTTTTTTTTCATTCTGTCTGTCTTGAAACATAAAGTTCGTATGTTTTAAGTAAACTTTGAGTAGTCTCCATTTAAGGTGGCTTTAGATATGCCATATACTAATAACGCATAAAACGGTATCGTAAATCCATTTTTGTGCTTCATTTATTGCACAGATATACGTGTGTAAATTTTCATTTTTAAATCTCTCATTCACTATGCTATCTGTATCCATGTCATATTTGAGTTCAAATCCTTTTGTTTCGCTTCGGGTACTTATTTCGCGCAATAACAATTAAATACACCAATTTAAGATGACTTTTTTTGAATGAGAATTGCAAGGTTCGAATGAATGTGTCGCCAAACGTGGCCCAATGTCATTAAATTGCAGCCATGCCAAAAGTTTGATGGCCAATCAGCCAATTGACGCACAAAAAAAAAGAATGTGCGATGGGGGGCTGTAAAGTCGCAAAATTAAGGCATTAACATTTTCCAATACAAACAAAAACATCTCAAATACGAGACTTTGATAGACTCGTGAGGCAAATTGAGGAATATAATAAGCAAAAAATATCGTATGCGCGTACAAAATATCAAGAGAGAGAGAAAAGTGTCGTCGTACGATACGGGCAAAAGTACAATTATTTTAAAAGTAATATTTCTGCTCATAAATAATAATCAATGGACGGGCAAAATGAGTGTGCATTGCGATTTATTGGCCATTCGATCGTAAAACATTCACACAGTCATAGCAAGTGGTGGTGATATGGTGACGAGGCTCTCTCTTATGTGCTTGTCACAAAAAAAACCGTTCACTCGGATGTTTGAAGCATTCAACGTATACATGTATAAGCAGACAGGCCATAAAATAAATTGATTAATATATTTGACATCTATATTTTTTGGGCGAATTAATGGGCAACTTTGTGAGCACTCAAAATGTCAGCCGTTGGTTTTTTTGGCAGGAAAAGTATGATTTGAAGTGACATTTTTGTTTTGAAATATTCGTCATTGAAATTAGTTTTAAGCACCAAGAAAAGAGAGAACATCGACCAAAACTATTTTCTTAACACAGAGCATATTCTTCGTTGATGTTAATCCGTTTCAACAGTAGCCACTTATTTGATGTGGCGATCTCACGCAACGCACCGAGCAAAACACTTAAATTGATGGTAATCGATTGCTCGAACTGATAGTAACCAATTAAAATTAGAAATCGTAACTACTAGTTGAAGTGAAAGAAAAAAAAACACAACAAAGCTGTAAATTAAATGCACGTAACACTTATGATATTAGTTCGTCATCAAGATAATTAACATTTCAATGGCCGGGACAGTCCAAACGTTTTGTTTTAATCACACTGCATTTCAAATGTCACATTTATATATATTCAAACATGATGATGTGTTGAGAGAGGAGAGAGGAAGAGAATGAGAGAGAAATAAAAATGCGCTTGAATAATTAACGCATGTGTGATGATGAGATGACTTCGTTGTTTTTTCCTCTTCTCCTCCTCTCAATGTATGTGGAGGTTGATATTTTCATCATTTCAAGTTTCTGCCGATGAATTTGTCGATTCAATTCAATAAAGCGAATGATGTGTGTACGAGAGCGCTTTCAAATCTAAATGTTTTAAATCCGACAACTGCGTTGACACATTTAAAGATCTTAATTTATCTATATGGATCTGAGTGCAAAAGGAGACAAAAAACAAAATCGTTAAAAAAAATTGTTGTGCACAGACATGGTTTTGCGAAAGATGAGCGCACACGTAAAAAGAACGCGTACTGCCGATGGACACATCTACATGCAATAAATGACAAATAAAAATAAACATAAAAACCAAATGGTTATTGCGTTCAAATTGGAATGTATATAATGTTTAATTATATTTGCTTTAATTACATTGCGGTAAAATGGATGAGAAAGAGCACACGGGAGGTGGGCTAACGTGATAAAAGCGAATGGCGCTGAGACAATTACTGTTTGCCATTTTTTTTACCGCAAATTGCCGAATATTTTCTACTTCGGTGTTTTTTTCCTCCTCTCATGAATGTACCGGAAAAACAGGACCGGATTTTATCGGCAATAACAACAACAGCAACAAAAAACAATGTAAATGTCATTGCAAAAATAAAATCGAGCTTATAATCAATTTCAATGTTCATGGCATTCACTCATGTGAATCATAAAAATATCTTTACGGTGATTGCACAAAACTTTGCCATTTTGCCCACAACAATAAAAAAAAATACGAAGAAAAAAATGTGTACACAATGTATCATATGTGAATATTGTGCGCGCGTTTACGGCCCCAATCGTTTCCGCTCCATTTGATGCCCGAGTGTGTA